GCTGGAAAACAGCATGACGTTAGCTGGAAAACAGCATGACATTAGCTGGAAAACAGCATGACGTTAGCTGGAAAACAGCATGACATTAGCTGGAAAACAGCGTGATGTTAGCTAGCAAACACCATGAAGTTAGCTGACAAACAGTATGACGTTAGCTGGAAGTGATTTAAACTCCAGGTGTGTCAACAGAGCCAATGAGGACAGAGCCGCGCTCAGGTGGAGGTTATAATCCGTTGGACCGCTTTATACCTCTTTCCTGTTTTATAGTCAACACTTTGCATGGCAGCTATGGTGGCGCCCCCTGCTGGCTGAGTCACATCAGTGGATCCAGAGAACAATAATCTGGTTTTATCCTGTTTCACTGATTTATCCTTCGCTGCCGAAGGAACATTTCTAGACCTGATAAAGTTTATTCTTTCTACATTTTTACTAAGGGTCAACCTATGTGTCTGTGTGTGTGTGTGTGTGTGTGTGTGTGTGTGTGTGTGTGTGTGTGTGTGTGTGTGTTCCTGTATTGGCATCAGAGTGAGGACCATTTTTTAGATTTCACCATCAAATCGAGGACCAGTCTTTTCTTTTTGCCTCACTATTATGCTAACAGTTAGGTTTAGGTCTGAGGTGTGAATTAGGTTTAGTTTAGGCTGAGGTACAGCAGGTTATTACATGGTCCTCACCACATATAGTGAGATGAGAATGCGTGTTTGTAATATGGACTGATGTGTGTTTATATGAAGGGGAATCAAGGTAATAAACTTTTTGGTCTTATTTTTGCACTTGAGTCTGAAGCACTTTGTGGCTGAAGAGCAGCTGTCCCTGCTGTCCTAGCGACCCGCGCTACGTATCCGTCCGTGTTTGAGTTGGTCATGAAGCAGTTCTGAGTATTTATTGTAAACTTCACCTCACACACTGTGTGTGTATGTGCTAAATGTAAAGTGGAGTGACTGATACTTGCAGATTGTTTATTTTCTTGTTCTTTGTTTTCTGTACCACAGCTTTGAATCTGTGTGCAGTCATCTGACAATAAACTAAAATGGCTGAAAGGATCATTTTTGTGTCTGTGCCGCTTTATTTGAGGATGCTGTTATTATGCAGCAATGCTTAAACATTTTGGTATTAGGAAGTAAACCATCACAACCTTAATTTGGTCAATCTCCTTTAAATTTTTCTGCTCTATACTCCGTGATAGCAATGTGAAATTTTGAGATAGTTTCAAATAGAAATTACAAATAAAATCTTTATTAGAATCTTTTTTAGAATTTTATTTGTGCACATTAATTATGATTTTTATTCAAATCCTTTGGCTAAAATGCCATCAGAACGGTTATAATATTAAGTGTGTCTCAGCCCCCCTTCAGTGTCCACCATATTGGATCAGTCCATTTGCTGCACATGTTCAGAAAGGTCCAAACAGTCAGCAGCAAACCATTTGAAAACAAACCATGTGAAGCGCACCCTGCGATGGACTGGTGACCTGTCCAAGATGGACGCCGCTTCTCACCCGTAGACAGCTGGAGATCGGCACCAGCATCCCTCGCCACCCCACTTGGGATTAAGCGTGTAAGAAAATGGATGAAGGTGTGAAGAGCAGAACTTTAGTCGCTATATTTTGTAGACATATCCTCCTACTACTTCAGGCAGTGAGGTGTTTGGGTCGTGGTCTGCATCCATCTGCAGAAATTAGGTAAATAGAGGGTGATTGCTGCATTTCAATAAAATTCTTTTGGAGGGAAAAAACAAGAAAAGAAAATTTCTTTCCTTGAAATAAAATGTTATACACCGACTCAAAAGCGACTGTAACGACCAATGGATCAAGATCAACTCAATTCTCAATTAAATGCAGAGGATGTACTGCTTCTACTGTCAGATCCTGAGGAATCATTAGCTCCTCTACTGGATTTGATCACCAATTTTCTGTATTATCCGGATACAAGATTAGCTGGTCTAAATGTGAAGTATTGTCAATGTTTTGTTAGAAAAGCCGTATACAAAAGTGGAAAATTGTGTGGTTGTCCAAAAACCGTAAATACTTAGGCATACTGCTGAACCGGTCTGGAAGACATTGGGGTAAGCTACAAATATGGCTGTGGGGTAGAGTTCAGCCCGTTAAAATGATTGCTAAAAAATCTTTCATTCCTTTTGAGACATCATGAAAAGTCTTCTGTGTGGTCTTCTCAATTTAGAGGGCCCCCCTGCCTTTCTTTGCCTGGGGCCCCAAATTTCCTAAATCTGCTCCTGGGTGGAGGATATGCAATTGTAAACATTTTATCACATGCAAAGTTATTTTTCAAATCAGAAACTCCACTACAGACACAGGTTGTTTTTTCCAGCCCTTCTAAAAGTCAGAAACTCAGATCAATATTTCTGCAGAGTTTCTGTGTCAGCGATAAACGCAGCAGATTAATATTGATTAAGAAAAAAGTCCTGAATGGAACAGCAGTAAAAACTATAGAATGAAAGGTTTTTCCCCTCCATGTTATTTAACAGGCTCAGTGTTCTGGGTCTACCTCGTTCTGCAGGATGCCGAGTCACACTGCTGTTGAAAGGAGCTGGTGGAGATAAATCCAGCTGCCCTCAAAGCTGCAGGGCCCTGGGCACCAGACCAGGGAAGCCTTTCTTAACTCAGACATGTTTCCAGCTGTTAGTGATCTAAGCTGTGATCCAGTCTGTGAGCTCTTTTAACTGGGCTGCTTTCTGCATTATAGACAAAGCAAAGGTCCTGGAACCAGTAGCTGAATCTAGTGGAGGAAACAAGGTTTCAGCTTCAATGGTTTAATGGTGTAAAAACCTAAACAACTGACTGAGGAGTGTAGTTTGCTCACTGAGATTTCTGCAAGGCAGAGGAGAAGATATGAATAGAAATATCAGGTAGGATGGTTATCTGAGGGAGGTGAATGTTTGGCTCAATGTTAATAAAACAAAATGATGAAGAAGATTTCTCTCAGCTCCATGCTGTGTCCTGGGCGGAGTCAGCTTTTCCATTGGTCAGCAGAGAGCTGCCCAAGATACTCTAAGAATTTACAATAGGCATTTATGTTGCTGTTATCAAGGAAGGGTCCCTAAAGCGCTGAAGCAGAGACCCCCATTTGCTCCTCCCTCCCTTCTATCAGCAACTGCTGCCTGCGTCCTCACTAGAACTAAGAAACTAGATCAGACAGCTGATCCAGA